ATACTTTCATATGTTCTCCCATTTACTATCATTTTCACCAGAAACCTATATAAGACAAGTACATATTTTCTTCATATTTACAAATGATGAAATTGAGGGTTAAGTCAAGGAAAATGCTTAAAATCACAGTGATTAAATGTAGAAGCTGGGCCTTAATCCCAGGTTTGTGCAACTCTAAAGCCCATAGTTTTTTCATGTGCCTTTTTTTTTTTTTTTGGTAGTTGGTAGACTGCCCTTCTAGTTTCTAAACTTAAGAAGTTTCCAAGTAATTTGAAGTCAATGGATTTTATGTTTTGTGGCTAGAAATAAAATTTACATGATTAAGTGAAAGTAGAATTTTTAAAAATTAAAGTAATTGGGGTGGCATTGTTTAATAGGATCATATAGGCTTCAAGTGTACATTTCTGTGATGGAAGATCAGTATATTGCACTTGTGTGCCCAACCACCCAAAGTCAAATCATCTTCTGTCACCATATACTAGTAGTAGGCCTCCTTTGAAACAGGATTTGAATGGTTTCATTTGAGACGTCAAATGTTAAAACTTATGTGTGCTTACCTTAGATATAGATTCTTTTGCAATTTAGAACCAGTTTAACAAATATTGTAAAGGCTGCTCAAATGGAGTATAAGTCTATTAAGAATCTCTTCTTAGTCTTCTGAACTTTCAACCTCCTGGAAGGCAAATTTCTGTCATATGTCTTTGTTCCCCGAGGGTCCCTAGCCCAGTCAGTGCCTGGTATTTATGTACTTAAAACTAGAGTTTATCCATATAAGAAATGGTAATTTTCTGTTACTGGTTGATTTTACCATATTTGAAGGACATTCTTAGGTGGTCTCATTTAAAATATAGACTGTGGCCTTCGCTGGTTTGGCTCAGTGGATAGAGTGTCAGCCTGCTGACTGAAGGGTCCTGGGTTCCATATCAGTCAAGGGCACATGCCCAAGTTGTGGGCTCAGGCCTCAGTAGGGGGCGTGTAGGAGGCAGCTGATCAATGATTCTCATCATTAATGTTTCTCATCGTTATTGTTTCTGTCCCTCTCCCTTCCTCTCTGAAATCAACTAAAACATATATATAAAATAAAATGTAGATTGTGTGCTATATATGAAATTAACTTGGTTGGCCCCAGAGGGGAGCACCTCAGTTTTCAAAAAATTTTAAAACTAGGTACAATGAGAGGCCTGTGTAATGGTTAATGTGTACAAACACCATATATTTTAAGACTCCATGATCAGAGAAAATAAAACCTTAATTGGCAGTCACATTGTATTTGAAGTGTTGTTTGGCAATTAGTTGCTTTTCATGTGAGCAGATTCACATAATACGCTTTCATTTGGGGATATGCTAATTTAAATATGGTTAATAATTTTCCAGGACAAGGCCTTCTTAACCAGTTAGTGGCAGAATAAAAGGACAGGTTAATGTTGCCAATGAATAAGGGAGGCTCCACCACTATGGTGTGTTCTTTTTCCTGCTACCGGAGAATTCTGTTGACTTTACTCTTGGGATAGGAGGGTTATTATGGTGTCAACCATTGTGGGGAGTTGCTGATGACTTATGGAATCCCAGTAATTATGAGAGCTATATAAAGCCCAAGAGCTATTGAAAAATTGGGATATCTGCATAAACCAGAGAGAACCACTACAGTTATAGCCTTTACATAAGTTGATGTTGCAAAGAAGGAAGTAAAATTGGCACAGGGTTTGGCTTGCCTGTCATTCCAGAGCCTATGAAATGGAAACAGTGTTCCCACTGCTTTTCACTGATTGAGGACCTCAGACTTTGTATATTTGTTTAAAAGGAAAGATTGTTTCATCTTTTACCTGGGAGGCTGAAAGAACAGTGTTCACAGTTTTTCTCAAAGGAATTGCATTGAATATTTTAATAGGTTAAGATAGTTTTTAACCACCTAATTTCTCACCTTTTAGCAGTTAGTAAGTAAATTTAAATGACTCAGTGCAGTCATTGTCATGAGTAAAATGGAGGTGCTATATAAGTGACTATGATGAAGAGTTTCCTGAATGGATTAGTTAAATGAAGTGTTTGCAGATGTAAGCTTTGTGAGCTGCCAGTAAAAGAGATGGGAAACTTCAGTTGGAGCTGCAAGATAGTTCAGTTGGCAAGGCTTGCATAGAAATCAGAAAAAGTAGGCCTGGCTAGAGAGGATAGTATGAACTAAGAAATAGCATGAAAATTGACAAGTAAGATGGTAATATTGGGAAGCAGAATTATAGTTTTATATTCCTGATGTGGATATGGCTCTAAGTCCAAACTCCTTTTTGGAGCTTCTTACCTTTCTTTGTGCACTGCCTCTCCTCCCAATTCCCACACCTTCCCACATACATATACTCAGAGATTAGAAGAGGCAGAATTAAAATGGCAAAAGAGCACAGAAGAAAATTAGAAGGAAGAGTGAGGAGACCTGGTTGTGGTATTAGCTGTCTGACTTTAACAAGTTGTTTAAAATGCATCTATTTGACAGACCTGAAGCAGTTACTGTCTGGTGCTTAGACTCCAGTGCAGATGCAAAAAAAGGGTCCTCTCTCATGCTTTCTGTCTGTCTGTGGTAGCCAAGATTTAAACGGGTAACACACACACAAAGAGTTTTTACCACTCAAATTACCTTGTAAACAATTGAAGAGCTGGCTATCCTCCAAAAGAAGACTCTAAAATCCAAGGGCTTTTATTAATGTTGCTTAAGACCCAGCAGATTAAATTTGGATTAATTAGGAATTTAATCAGCTAAAAGACAGCTTTTGTTTTGATTTTTCTGCTATAAGTCTTTGGGAATCTTATAGATTGGGCTTTAGAATATTAATGGTCTCCTTTTCCAACTGCATAGCCTATATAATAAAAGCCTAATATGCTAAGTGTCCGGTCGGTTGGTCGTCCGTTCAACCAATCAAAGCGTCATATGCTAATGATATGCTAAGGTTGCTCAACCACTCACTATGACGTGCACTGACCACCAGTGGGCAGATGCTCAGACTGGTAGGTTAGCTTGCTGCTGGGGTCCAGCCAATTGGGACTGAGTGAGATGGGTCGGGCATGCCCTGGAGCCCTCCCATAGTCCCTCCCTGGCTGGCCAACCTCCCACATCCCTCCCCAGCCCTGATCGTGCACCAGTGGGGTCCCTCGGCCTGGCCTGCACCTTCTCACAATCCAGGACCGCTCAGGGGATGTTGGAGATCCGGTTTCAGCCAGATCCCGCAGGCCAGGCTGAGGGACCCCACTGGTGCACAAATTCATGCACCGGGCCTCTAGTTCCTGATAATTTCCTACAAATGCAGATAATGTCACATTATAGAAACTGAACATTCATGTTGTTTTTTTAGTATAGCTCTGCTATAATTAGTAATCTGATAGAAGTCTATTCTGAAGAACTGGAAATAAAGCAGTTGAAACTAATATATTGATTTACTAACTTACAGTTCTGAATATGAAGAGAATGGGCAAGTGAAAAAAGTAGTAGTACCCAGAAAGAAGAGTTAGATACCTGGGTCCCATTCTTCACATTCCTGAATTTAAATAGGGGAGAGTGGACTCAGAAATGCTTATTTTAAAAAAACAAAAAAAAACACCCTAGTGATTATGATTAGAAGCCAAAGTTGGTATTTACATACTTAATTCTATTCATGAACACCTCTTAAGTGCTATCATTTTATTTTCAGAGTGTCAGGAAAGCTGAAGTAGCCTTTTTAAGCTATGGCAGTGGGTTTACAAAAGCTTTTTTTTTAATATGTATTTTTATTGATTTCTGAGAGAAAGGGAGAGGGAGAGATAGAAACATCAGTGATGAGAGAGAATCATTGGTTGGATGCCTCCTGCACGTTCCCTACTGAGGATCAAGCCCGCAACCCTGGCATGTGCCCTTGACCGGGATCAAACCCAGGACCCTTCAGTCTGCAGGTTGACGCTCTATCCACTGAGCCAAACCGGCTAGGGCTGTAAAAGCTTCTAATCCCAGAACAGTAGCACCATTAGATTATAGAATTACAGGGGACATTAGGGACTACCTAATATAGAGGCCAAAAAAGTATTGTCCATGGACCAGTTCTGGCCCTCCGCCTGTGTTTTGGGGGGACATAGTCATACTCACTTATGTGTCATCTATGGCTCTGTCTGGCCCCTTAGTGAAAAAGTTGGGTGGCTTTAGAATGGATCAGACCTATCATTTTATAGATGTAGAAATAAGATGTAAAAAAAGGATAATGAGTGAAATATTCTGAGACTACACAGATGCATAGTGGTCAGAGTGCAAATACAGTTGAGTTCTTTTTCCTGCTTTCATGCCATTATTTTTATTTATTTATTTTTTTAATATATTTTATTGATTTTTTACAGAGAGGAAGGGAGAAGAATAGAGAGTTAGAAACATCGATGAGAGAGAAACATCAATCAGCTGCCTCCTGCACACTCTCCCTACTGGGGATGTGCCCGCAACCAAGGTACATGCCCTTGACCAGAATCGAACCTGGGACCTTTCAGTCTGCAGGCCTACACTCTATCCACTGAGCCAAACCGGTTAGGGCCATGCCATTATTTTTTGTTCAAGGGGCTGATACCTGGGTGAGATCAGAAAATATATTTGTGGTACAGAATTTTGTTTATAAGTTTATTGTTATATTATAAAACACAGTTATTGGGTTAGTAAATGGTCCATCAGGTATTAGATAACATGGCTATACAAAAACCTTTTTTTTTTTAATCCTGACCCAAGAACATGCTTAGAGAGAAAGAGAAACATCCATGTGAGAGAGAAACATCAATCAGTTGCCTTCCATACATGCCCCAACGGGGGAATCAAACCCGAGACCCAGGATGTGCCCTGACTGGAAATCAAACCAGCAACCTTTCCGTGCACACTCAACCAACTGAATCCCTACGGCCAGGCAGAAACCTTTTTAATTTGGGTTGGGGGAAGAATTTGATTGTAGTATATTCTTTTTTCTGAATATAAATCTTTGGTTTGATCTGCCAAGCAATTTGATAACAAGCATCTTTTTCTGTTCCTTATGCAGCCAAATGGACGGACTGTTGAAGTGGCTGAGGAGGAAGTTGTCCGAACTCCTCGAAGTGTAACAGCAAAGCAGCCATTAGAGACAGATAAGAAAAATGAAAAGGTAAGTTTGGGAGCATATAAAATTAGATGCAAAGCTCTAAATAAAGAGAGTGACATGTAAAAAAAATTATGCTTTTCTTTTTCACAAAATTGTAGATATTACCCACTCCCCCTTCAAGGAAAACCAAAGATCTAAATTTATCAAAGCGAATGGATAGGTGGTGAAGGTTCCAGATATGTAATATACCTCTTATTTGAAAACAAAATTGTATTACCTTTGTTAGTGCATTTTTGGCATAAAAAGCTTAGCAAAATTATCCTTTGGTATTGTTTTAGATTTCTGTTGTGACAGTTTGACTTTTTTAACAAAAGAAAATGCTCTGTACTCAGGTTATTATTAAAATGTTTGGATGTGCACCCTAAGTTTTCAAATAAGACAGTCTAACAAATCCTGGGATTTTATTTAAAATGGTCAGTGTTAGAACTGACCATTTTATTTGACTTAATTTAGTTTGTGAATAGGCAAAATATACAAGAAACTGTTAACAGTGTTTCCTTCTGTTGTGGAAGAAAGATGTTCCATTTAATTCCTTTTGGTACTCCCCCTCTCCATTTTTTATTAACCCTGTACATGCATAACTCCTCAGAAAAAACAATTACAGATAGGTAACTGATTTCTAAGAACCAGGGTGCAGCTCCAGCTCTGTAGCATAGTGAAATGAAATAGTTGCTACAGTTTCTTAATGCTTGCATTTTCAAAATAACTGAAGAACTGATGAAATCAATTCTCCCCCTGTAACCTAGTGAAATTGGCCTAGGGCTAAGATAGCTGCAGGTAGGATGGCTTAATATGAAGGGTAGTTGTGGGAAAGAATTACATTTATGTCTAACTTTGTCTTTGGGAGAAAAATAAATAGTAAATGACTGTATTAACAAATAAGCATACAATTTAGGGATTGTGACTTTATACCATGAATAGTTTATATGCTCAATATGTAATTATCCTTCTCCCATTTAGTGTTTCCTTGTTCCTGGGCTTTCTCTCTACTAATAAGCATTTTATACTTACCTCTGCTTCCACTCTGAATTATTCTGGAAAATTTGTAATTGGACTAATTAATGAAATACCATTTAACTCTGATTGATTAATCATATATAGATTGGGTGTATCAGATGTAAAACCAGTTTGAAGTTTATATTCTGAAATTTGTGATAGGAAGTAATTATAACAGTTGACATTTGTTAAGTATCTATAATGTGGCAGGCATTGTGTAAGGTGAGGTATATGGTATATGTGTGAATATATTTACATATATCTGGTAGGGACGAGTTATTGAGCATTTATTGGGTGTGCTTTTAAGACTTTATAGAATAGTTATACACACTGCTCTATGTATCCTCACAAGAGCACTGAGGCGGCAGTATTACACCTATCTTACAAATAAGAAACCTGAGGCTTCAATTACCCTGAGCTAATAAAAGTGTAGTTCATTCTAACCCAGACCCATCTGACTACAAAGTCTGTGCTTTTTACTGCTCTGCATTATTTCTGACCCACAACCTGTTAGGTGGGTAGTAATTGCCCGTTTTGTAAGATAAGGGCTCTGAAGCATAGAAGGGTTTTGTGGTTTCACTAATTTCAGTTTCTGAACTAGGATTTGAACCCACTTATCCTGATATGAGAGCCCGCGCGCTTTTTAATCCTTTGACAGTACCTCCTCTTATTTGCTGTTGCTCTTTCAGAACAAAGCTTCTACTTTGGGTTTGTTGCCTATTTTTTTCACTTTCTGCATAATAAATGCTACAACTCATGGCTAGTGTTCCTGTTGATCATCTTGAATCTTGAATTTATGCTTTTTAACTTGGTTCAGTCCAACTGAGACTCGTTTCAGGTAGTTTTTAATGCTATTGCACTATATTTTTGTGTGTTTAAAATAAGTGATATTTCTAGACTTCATATTTTTCTTTGTAAACAAACATTATCTTAGATCTACTTATTTATCATAATATACATTATTGTATATTTGT